TCCGCTTTTCTTCATTTTGTGAGATAAAGTTACTTTGGTATTTTTGATGTAAATCCTACGGAAGATTGTCCTGGAAGTCAATAAGTATTTAAGACGCATTTTGTTTTTCAATGTATTTCGAAAACATTTTATCAATTTTGAACCAAAACGATGAGATTCATGTTGAAATGCAGTACCATTATGGCTTACAACATATAGACTAAGAATTGAAAAACCTCTTATTGTTAGGTGTCAAAGAGTTAATTATGTCATCAGAAGCATATAAAAGAAATGAAAGTATACCCTTGGAAATAATCACAACATGTAATATTGATTGGAAGACAACAAAACTCTGTCAACCGAAGATATTAACGACTAATAAAAATAAGTCAAGCACAATGTTTTGGAACTAGGTAGGTGATTCAAAAATAGCACACAGATTCACCAAATATATGCCAAAAAGACCATATAATAAATTAAGGGAAAAACTACTATGTCAAGCACAAAGATCGAGCTGAAATGTCGAATTAATGAATAAGTAATTCGTTGGTACGAAAAAACTTCATACATTTCTGTTCTCAGGACATAAAATTAGTTGGATACATTGAGGCTACTGTAGGACAAAAAGTAGTATATCACAACACATAAAAATGGCAAAAAGTGCAGATACGGAGAGAAAAACTGATGGTGATGCTATTATGAAGACTGTTTGCTCTAATGAAATGGTTGGATCGTCATTTTATTGCAAACAATTTAAAATGGATGAATCGGAAGTGAGAATGTCTTAAGGAGTTTAAATAATCAAAGTCGCTTATGTTAGCGTTTTGAAACAAGTAACAAGTGCGACTGAATTGAACATTTATTTATAATTATCATACAACACTGTATTATAGACATATTTTCCTACTGAGATCCCTCAGGGGAATAAATTCATATGTTATCGTTATTCGTTCCATGTATAAGAAATGATGGGCCTTAATAAATCGATCTAGATATCCATAATTAATCTTGATTTTTGTATGATTTCAAGAATGTATTTTTAAAGTTGAATTTAAGATACATTAAATGGCCATGTGACTGCACAGTTCTTACGTTTCTCAGGTTTTGATGCTTATCAAACTTTGTTCATTATTTTCGCAATTCAATCGTTTACATTAGTGATATGAGCGTCAATATTTATTGGTTTAAGACTGTTATTAGAAAGCCTCAGAGCTACCTACTTGAACATCTGGGCTACCTGTTCCAGTCATCTAGATATTTCAACAAGTTATGCAGTTTTGTTAGTTTTAATACATCATCATGGCTATTATTCGCATAATATATTCAGGTGCGTTTATGAAAAGTGTACAACATTTCGTTGTACAAGTTACAAAAAGCCGAATCAGAGATATCGTGGTTGCTGACAATATGCAGCGAAAAGAATGTACATTATTTAGATGTCGAATGACTGGACTGCTAAATTCTAACTAGTGATCACTCAATATTGATCATTGGCCAAGAAGTAAGAAACGGATAGCAATCAAGTGACTGGTAAATATATATATATATATATATATATATATATATATATATATATATATATGACCCATTTCTGTTTGCAAACAATATCACCATTTAAAATGACACTGGTATGACTTTCAAAAAACAAGACTTCTCAAGATTGGACGTATACCTCAGTGATAGGTTTCAGAAGTTAAGACACTAATCTTATGTATTTTCCAGGGTTATTTCGAACAGTTTGATAAACATCATAAACTTTTCGTCACTTAAATACCGACATAAAAGCAGTTGCTTTTTTTATGACAATTGTTCGAATTGAAGTTCAAAATATGAACCACTCGACGTTGGCCCAGTGGTCTAAATGATTAAGCACTCCACGAGGGTTGATTTTCAATAGATTCATAGATGTGCACAGCTGAGAAGTCCCATACTAGGGGGAAACAACTGACCAGTAATTCATGGTTTTCAGTGATTGTCAAACTAATATCAGAAGTGATATAAGCTATACAATGTAAAATATCCACGTTAAGATAATATGATTTATTTGGTAATTACATTGAGTGATCGAAAATGGAATATCTAAACCTTTCGATACCATCCAGATGAACAGTTTCTGAAACTGTTCAAAACATATAATATATTATTGTGTAATTGTAAATCGGTTTACAACACACAATGATTTTCTCTGGATAACCAGTGAAAACGGAAAAGTATTGATACTATTGCGAAATCATTTGGATTTCAACCTATATATGTAACCAGCATGACACCATTATGTGATTAACGAGCTGGAACTAACACAAGATTAACTGAAATTCTCAGGCTACTAGTTGTCGTGCACAACTCTCACAATTCCTTAATATAAAGTCAGGGAACTCTTAGCCACAGGCTAAGGCAAAATACTTATCATTCACTGTTTACTTATACGATGATGACGCTGGTGATAAGCAGGACCAAGTAAAAGCTTAGTTTAGAGTTGGTTCCCTTGAAAAACCTCCAGGCTGTATGCCTAAAAATCTATCAGTTGAGCTATGGGAGTTAATCAATTAAAAACAGTTTGATAAAGTACTCCAACTAATAAAATATAATAATTTGGTGATTTTTCTGCACAGTTCAATTTTGCCGTTAACGACATCCACAAAAGAAATGACTTTCTGAAGCGTACTTATATTTTCGAATACATATTAGAAAACTTTCTGATTGTTAAATATTCATTTTCAGAATGGATTTTGTGGAGAGTTTTAGAAATTTTACAAGTTGAAATCAGGAGTCAGTTGAAGCTAGACCACCATTGGAAACCTGGGAGCACTGGACGGCCGTTTCGTTCTAGTATGGGACTCCTCAGCAGTGCGCATCCACGATCCCGCACCACGCGGGGCTCGAACCCAGGACCCACTGGCTTCGCGCGCTAGCACTTAACCATTAGACCACTTCAACCAATCCACGAAGTTGCGCCACCGTACACCATTTTCTTCAGTGAGTTGTTATCTCACAACAGACCGGTTGAACTCCACTGGTAACGGCTTTTCAACTTGTGAAATTTCTAAAACTCTCCACAAAACCCATTCTGATAATAATCAACATATGCTCACTAGTGACTGACTTCAGGAAAAACTCCTGGAGTTCTAATGAGAAGCCGTTACCAGTGGAGTTCAACCAGGTCTGTTGTGAGATAACAACTCACTGAAGACAATGGTGTACGGTGGTGCAACTTCGTGGATTGGTTGAAGTTAGACATTAACACCGTTAGACACCAGCCGGCTCAGTGGTCTAATGGTTAAGTGCTCGCGCGCGAAGCCAGTAGGTCCTGGGTTCGAGCCCCGCGTGGTGCGGGATCGTGGATGCATACGGCTGAGGAGTCCTATACTAGGACGAAACGGTCGTCCAGTGCTTCCAGGTTTTCAATGGTGGTCTAGCTTCAACTGACTCATGATTTCAACTTGTGAAATATTCATTTACAAGTTTTATACAATGAATTTACTGCATTCCCTCATATTTGATGTACTAAATGACCACTGTCTGTTGTGCATATGTATGAGTTCATGTGCATATACATCTGTATATAACTTTTTATGTAAGTCTTGAACCTAAAGCCTTCTTGTTCGTTCGCGATATAAATAATAATAATAACGATGACAGTAACGCTAACAACAGATTTTATATAGAATAGGTGGAATGTGGACGCGCGTTTTGTCTTATTCTCAACCAAGTGTACCTTCTTCCAATAGTCGATTCCCGTCCAAAATATGGACGAAACATACGTTCTGAATTCCACTTTTAGTCACATTCCATCTGTTTTATGTAAACTTGTGAAAAATGGCTATGTAAAAGTAATCTGTAAAGAATACACATATGACAACGAATACTGATCAAAATTTAGTCAACAATATCAATCATAGAATAATTCAAACCATTACAAGATTAAATTCATAACAATTAGAATTGCTCGTTATATTCACAATTGTAATAGTTTGATAGTTATGATATTATTAACAACAGTAATAACTACAAATAGTATGGTTACTTTCAAGGTAATTAGTATTATAACTGTTTTAATTTTCCAGAGTGTTCACGAATAAAAGTCCTCAAAACAAGGAAAAAATGACTAAGGAATTAAAGAAAACATTGAAAATTTAAAAAAAATGAACAGAAAAAGACATTTCACAGGTTCATATATAAAGATAGGTAGATGTGTTAAAGAGAAGTTGATTGAAATTTTCTAGTCAAACTATTTAAGATCTACCTCATCAAGGAAATCTTTTATTATATGAAGAATAATAAATAAAATTGAGAGGGGCGAAACCATAATTTATGGACCAACCAATCAGGTGTAATATAACAGGTTTCGGATTTTGGCGCAAAATTCATTCATCTATTTCTGTAAATAGAGTTTTGGCATTATAGCTAATGTCAGTTCGTGATGAAAACCTTAAATCTAATTCCTAACGTTAACCATCAACTGTAAATCATAATTCGAATTCCTCACACTAATTTATAACCCTCATTTGGTTCTAGTTATCAGTTGAACACTCTCAACGTCAGTCTAGCGTCAGTCAAAGGTCGTCCATAAATTATAGTCTCACCTTGAAAGGTAATCCAATTCACAAAAGAGGCATGTCAAGTTAATTATGAATACAATAAATTACAAAGCATATATATATGTATATGTATATGTATATGGAATTCTTGCTAGTTTTCCTTTTTACTTATGATTCAGATGTTTCTCTTCATAGTTTTGGTAATTATTGATGTAAAAGTGATAACCTTTTTTCATTTTCTCATGTAGGGTATACACAAATTCTTATATTTCTAAAAAAAGCAATATAAAGTTCTAAGTTAATTTGAATAAACTAGGGTTTATTACACAGTTTCTGTTCAAAATTGACATATAAACATATAAAATTAATGAGTAAAAACAATTGATTAAAATTCGAAATGAACTTTAGTTTTAATATTGCTAATGGTTTGTAATGATGTAATGTTTTTTTTTCTTCTTCTGTTTCAATTCAGTTATTTCTTAATCATTTCATACAACCAAGTATACCTAGTGAGGCTTGTTTTGGATATCCAGGACGTGTATGCATTGCTATATTATCGAATACATAGTAGTTTGTACCTTCAAAAAACAAAGTTTCATCTATTTTTTTTTTAAAAAAAAACAAAGAAAAGGGATATTTATTCAATTTTATGAAGTACAGAAAAAAAATAGAATGTTACTTTGAAAAAATAAAGTCAATTAAATTATTTTACAGATTGAAATCATGAGTCAGTTGAAGCTAGACCACCATGGAAAACCTGGGAGCACCGGATGGCCGTTTCGTCCTAGTATGGGACTCAGCAGTGCGCATCCACGATCCCGCACCCCGCGAGATTCCAATCCAGGACCAATCGGTCTCGCTCCAGGAGCTTACCCAACTAGACCACTGAGCCGGGATCAATGGTGTTAATGTCTAACTTCAACTAATCCACGAAGTTGCACCACCGTATACCATTGTCTTCAGTGAGTTACTATCTCACAACAGACCTGGTTGAACTCCACTGGTAACGGCTTCTCACTAGAACTCCAGGAGTATCTCTTGAAGTCAGTCACTAGTGAGCAGATGATTATTATCAGGAGGGGTGCTTCCAGGTTTTCCATGGTGGTCTGACTTCAACTGACTCATGATTTCAATCTGTGAAACTTCTAAAATCTCCACAAACCCCTTCTGATAAATTATTTTACTTCAAATAAACTGAATTTAATTTAATAACCATAAGTTACCTGGGGAATTTATATCAATAGTTGTGTAATTACGAATTAAGCTACAAAAAAGGTTAAATTCATGTTAGCTTACGTGAAATATAGTTTCCAACTAAATTAAAGTTAAGCTAGTGCTTCTACATGTGTTAATAAATTACTATCTGGACCAGGTATGGTACTTCATTATTGGTCAGACATTCAGAATCTGAGTTATTTACCTAGTGATTTATTGAGTCTAGTTTGCCGATTCAATGCTAAGTTGTATTATTAGATATCACATGCAGAATCGGAAAAAAATCATGTGTCTAAGTAATAACTGATAAATAAGCACATAGCATAGAATGCTAAAGAAATCTTTTATTCAAGGTAAAGGAATACGAATACTCAGTCTGCTACAACGGTTAGAAGCAAAGAATCATAGGAAAAAATGTAACCTTCAATTTCTATCTTTAATTCGTTCATGATTTCTTAACTAATAGCTGACTGAACTTTAATGTGTTGTTTTCTTTCAAGTTTTCACATAACGAAAGAAACTCATTGTGTCATCAAACAAGTTTAAAGATAATTCAACAAGATGTTTGGCTGAATAATATTAGAAAAAATTTAATTTCTACTATGATGTTCAACTGAAGTGAACTACCGGTTTGTTATTATTTAATCATATAACAATTAATTTATTATTTACAGGATAAATTATCCTTTAGTCACATTTAATCTCCAAGAGACTTTGTTATGTTTACAGGATAATAACATAGACATTATTGGTTTAGTTTTGTAACTTTAATCCAGTATTATTGCTACTAATGACTTTGTAAAGCAATTAAATAAAGGGAGACGATAATGGTATCCACTAACTGATGAGTAGATCTGAATATTAACTGCTCTGTCATACTAGTATAGATATTCGGTTAATACCGTTCACTTTATGATAGTATACTAACTAATTATTTAATCATATTAGATCTCACAGTGATAAGATATTAGTTCAGACCAATATGAGTATAACTTTAAAATAATAAAATCTATATACACATAAATATGTAATTGGATTTTAAATATGAAACAATATCAGGTAGGTTGAGATGCAAATCCCTCTGTGCTATTCATTTGTATAATATCTGGATATAACAATTGGTGGATTGAATAAAATTAAAATTAGGTTTGGTCATTTAACAAAGTGTATCCATCTCAACGAACGGTTATTTAGTTTTGTAATAAATCGTAAGTTTACTAGATTGTGAAATGTCTAATTTTGAACTCACTCATCACTTACGAAGAAATTAATATTAAAATTCGAGTGATTGATCGCTGGGTAGTGAGTTATTCCATGTTTGTCTAGTCATTTAATGTTGGAAAAATTCTACCCATCAAGTTACAGCGTAAGCACTAGTTTAAGTGACCCGATTTGCGCGCACATAACAACTGACCTCTTGTTTGTTTCTTCAAAAATTAGACTTGGAACGGCCCATTTTTAGTCATCGAGTTATAACCTTGAACAGAGGTTTTAGACAATCATATACTGAATTACTATAATTTGTTAAGTATCAAACAAAACGCTCAAGCGTAAAGTGGCTTGGAATTAAAAACCGTACTACTGGTTAGGATTTCAGTAGCTCATGAAAACGAAATAAATTTGATGAGCGAATCGCCACCTGGTGATCTACAGTAAATGGTGGCTGACGACTATTAACTCTATTTAATTAAGTTCATCAACCACTTTCACTGAATAGCATTTATTTCATCTACTGTTGTACTACAGGACAGATAAACGATCGTTTGAAGAAGCATAAGTCAAATACAAATTAATGCATAGTCTACAAAATCAGCAGTGTACACTATATCTAAAACAATAAAATGGTACATTGGAGTATAAATATGTTTATGATAAGACCATCAGGACGGATTGAAAGAAAAAGTATACAGTTACCTGCAGTTGACTGCTACTGGTCATTTTCTGCTCATCAAAAATTTTTATTATCTTTTAGAAGAAAATAATTATTATCGCTAAGAGATATCTAATCACAATAAGGAATAAATATGTGAACTAATAAATTACCATTGAGACCGGTAAATGCAGCTTGTGTAGGAACAGGAACTCCCTGCCATGTATCTTCTATCAGACGAGGATAGTCCGGACTATTAATTACTTTGCCAAATGGACCAGAATTCTCATCCAAGCGCCAGTAATATTTTCCAGCGAAGATATAAATTGCTTGATTTTCTCCCCATAAAAATACACTGTCTACACGTTCCAGGTACGATGGAAGTCCAAGATTAGTTAGAGGTAATCCATCACTTGGAAATCCAGGTTTCATTCTCATATTATCCAGAAGTAGCCAGAATTTTTTATCTGCAATCAATGTTGGATTAAAAAAAGCAAATAAAATCAAGTTAGTTTTATGAAAGTCATAATTAAATAAGTCTAGATTTTCTGTACACAGTTCAACACTGTTTGTTTGTTTGTTTTGATGAGCTCCAAGTTTCAACTAGTATTCTCGATCTAAGTTTTAGTTACAATATTATGAGTACAGTTAATTGTAGCAATAGTTGAGATGTTCAATTAGAATTTACTCATCTTTACAATGTTTTAATGAACAAAAAGTGTTTTCTGACTATTAAAGCGTTGAACTAACAAAAGCTCTACATAACCCAGGTATTCTATCAAATAACTGGGACAACTCTTTGGTACTAACAATACTTAAAATATCGTTGGAATTTTACTAATCTATATTACTTTCAAATAATTGGTTTAGCACCTATGTTTTCTTAAACATACTTTTGTTATTCGAAAGATAACAAATAAAGTTCATTGTGAAACGATTTGAGCAAATGAAATTCCATGTAAATAATCGAATGACTGAATCTTTCAAATCAACCTCTGTTGTATCCCGATAAGAATAATGAATGGTAACTTTTGGGATCCATTTATGGACCGATATTATGAGTATATTATCATCGTATAATTGTTATGTAACTAAACTGTTCATATTCATGTCCCTCTTATTGTGAGCTTTATTTTGACCTATGAACTATTATTATGCGATTTACCATTCATGAATTATTCCCTGTCTGTCGATCGCTACCTCCCTTATTCATAGCCAAAGCTGGCTAATTCTTGTACAAATGTTGCTTCATATTTTATTGGTACGTTGTGGTCGGTTTGGTTGGTATATAAACTCAGTATGCTTGAAATATAATGATTCATATCTCAAAGGCTGAGACTTGTGTTTCTGGACTCAACCGGCTGGGCTAGACAGGGAAGCGGGACCAATCGGAACTCTAGGCCGTTCTTACATGTTTACGCGTCTTTGGTCCGATCGACAATACGCTGCCGTCTAATCTGCAGTCACGAGTTATAACAACCTCTATCTGGGTTAATTCAACTACTTATGTACGAAACATTTGATTATCGAGTACTTTAAAAAAGATAAATGACAGTGGGGATTTTATGGTCGGTTATATCTACCAAGTAGAGTTACGGATACTAAAAAGTGATTTAATGAAATCTAATTTTTAGGAATTATAATCAAACTTTTGATGATCAGTTAGTTGAGTGCTTCATCGTATATTTGGATCTTGTTTCTTCTATCAATCTAAACTCTGAATCATATCAGAACATATGAATCTTCTAGTTTAGGCTAAGATAATATAATCAGTTACTTTTCATTCTCCAAGGTTTTTTGATTCAGAACTCAAGGAGAAGATTAGATATGGTAGCTGGTATGATAAAGTTTAAACAGTAATAGTATTTTTGTTCACATGATAAATTGATTAAAGTTAGTTCACAATGTTTGGAGTTTCTTCTCTTTTTCACAGATTCATCAAATAAAAAGTACTTTTCACTATATGAAAGAAATGTATCTAGTACACAAAAATATTATCAGATTAAATAGAATATTAGCGATGACAACATTATCTAAAAAGTAAATGATATCACCAATAAATATTGAGCTAATTGATGTCAGTTTCAAATGTTCAATAATAAAATCACTTTACAAACTGACAAGTCTTCTAATTGAACGCTAGATTCGGTTCATAAGCTCTTCTAGTAACCCTCAGGCTATATCTAACGGCAACACGAGAGAAAAGGTGCGAAATATGGAAGAAACGCTTTACTCCAAAGGTCCGTTTATGTACAGAAAATCTGTGGCTTTTATAGTGTTTTAGATGGCTTTGAGTTTCTGGGAAATCCTGGAACGCTACTAAACACAGTAGCAGTATAGTTGAACACATAATCAGAAACGCGACATGTGACTTTTCACTTTCTAGATGATTCTGAAAACACTTCTACTGAATGATGATAAGATACTTCTTAATGGTTTCAGAGCCTTTTTGGCTTTTTTTCGAGGAGTTTTCTGAATCTCCCCAACACAAACGATTTTAGATTTCTAGGTTTGTTGAAAAGTAAAAAGAAATTCTAAGTCATACAATTCGGCTAAAACCAGTTGTTCAATGAAAACAGTTAAAAATTACCTCGAAAAATATAAATAGCTGCATCATGGCGTTCAATACCAGCATTAATGTAATCAACGTATTTAGGTAATGCAGGCCAGTAATAAGTTATTTTTGCCGGACCGTCACGAAATTGATAGGTGATCCATGTTGTTACAGTTTTTGACCATGTTACTCGCCATTGCCACTTTAAGATTAAGAAAAATGAAGTGATATTTAGCATTATTTAGAATTGATTTGTATAGAATGCTTTCTGCTTATTCGTCATCATGTTTTGTTGATAAAATTTTGTATCATAGTCTTTGATTTTAATAAACTGTCCAGGAGAGTATGCTTGGCTTATATGTACCTGGACTGGACATTTAATACAATGTTAACTTTCGTACTTTTACGCGTTATCTATATCGTCATTCTTATCTATGAATTTGTGAGCTGTTAGTGCATTCAATGAAACCATAAGGTTTAAAGTCTCCTCTTTCATATTTAACTTTTAAAATGATTCTAGAAGTAACAGTGAATTTGTAGCGTCACCCTGAATTGATAAAACTTATGATGATTTTCATGTGTATTGAGTTGACTGATTCGAGTATTGGTCAGTAGTTGTTAATTCCGAACAAATCGCTTTACACTAACTTCAAAATGAGGAAGTTATTATTACACTTGTATATATAACATGACACTTCACATAATGATGTTCCCAAGAACGATGATGAAAGCTTTGCAAACAAAACATCCATTTCACAGAATATAACACAAATTAAAGTATTCAACTGAGCTAAATATATTCAAAATAGAGTGTCCTATTAATTATAGGCATAATTCATTGTTCTTGAAACATTTATAGTTAGTTAGATATGATTTATATTGACTATTGTCACCTTTTGGCAAATAATCTGATTTTTTACATCTTTATGTGACTGCTTGAATTATTTGCTAAGGCAGTGTTTTAAAAAAATAACATTATACATAGCTCAGATGATTTAAAATGTTCTTATCTAATTAAACCACTACATATTCATTTGTAGTGTCGGTTGCTATGTTAAGCCCATATTAGCTTATTCTAGCTTCTGAACAGGCTAATGTATTCATTCTTCTTGAGTCCCGTTTTAAACTTGTTAATTATTCACTTATCAATGCTGACTGTTTTTATATGAACATATGTGTGTTCATTTCTCATCATACTCATCACGTATCTGTAATTTGATTTTGTGTGACTATAAATATTGGAGTTGGCTTACATGCCTTCTCCATCGAGCGTCATTTCGCTCCACTCAATTCTCGTCACTTCCTTCGCCTCATTCCTCAGATTGCCTGCCCAGATCAATAAGTGTACAAAATATATGTAATCGGAAATCCATTCTTGTATTTCACTTATTTAATTCCATTATTCATCAACGCGATTAAAGTTGATGAAATATACGGGGATAGGTGACATCTATATTTCGATAGCAATCATTCAATAGCGATCAACATATAATCTAATTGGAGTCAGATTATGGACCACTAAACATTTTTCATAGTTGTTCAGATTTTTGTAAATGAAATTCTATTGGAATTAACTATCAATTATTATTCTATATTCAGATCATTTTGTGTTTGTTTTATATTTCCTTGGTTTTGTATGATATATTTTTACTCTATACTTACTGTTCGCTGATTGTCTAATATTCTCATAGTCACTTAAAATTAGTTCAAAGGTCGTCCATAAATTAGAATCTCGCCTAATATTCTTTTTTATCCTGACTTATGTAACGCATAAACTTAAGAAAAAAATGACTCATAATGTCATTGAATAAGAAAAGGAGAATCCAGTGAAGAGAATTTTCTTTTCGACGAAATCATTTAATTAAACTGTACATTCATATACATAGTTATATGGAAAATATATGTCGATAGGAGGATAGAAAAGATTGCATCATAAAATGGATTCAAGACTAAATAACAAATGAGGTTACGTACTTATCAAGGGGTAAGGAAGAAAATTACTAGTTCTATACATGAGTATTTAATTTATTGTGGACACATCGCTCCAAAAGATTCTTCTTTTAAAGTGATCTACAGAGTCAAAGGAACTGGATTAAAGGGGTATCGAATCAATATTTTATGCACTGCTGAGGCATTGGCAATTCACGAACTCAAGCCTGAACTTTGCGTACAGAAACAATCCCTCCAACCTCTCATCATTCATTGGCCCTAATTCCCTTGATAGGTATCATTATATGTGAAAATTATATCTGAAATAATCTCAGCGATTGAAATTTAAATAATTCCAACGTTTCGTCCAGCTAACTTGTCTGGACTTCTTCAGGGTAATAATCAAAGTCATCGAAGAAATATATGGCTTGATAGGTATGTTTCTGGGGGTTATTTTTGCATGTCTTTTTGCACTTTTATTTGATTATTACTGAATTTTTTAAATTGTTGTTTTGTATTTTAAACTCTGGTCAATTATTATTATTACCCTTATACAATTTTTTATGATTATTATTCAGTTTATTATCATGACCATTTTGTTTGTCGTTTTTCATCATATCTGTCAATTGGACTATTAGCTGACCCATAAACTATTTTCTTCCTTACCCCTTGATTAGTACGTAACCTCATTTGTTAATTTAGTCTCAAATCTATTTTTGTGATGCAATCTATTCTATCCTCCTATAGATATATATTTTCCAGATAGCTGTATATATATAAATGTACAGTAAATGATTTCGTCGGAAAGAAAATTTCCTTTACTGGATTCTCTTTTTCTTAAGAGAAAAAGATTATCAATAATATTGTAGTTTTTAAATGAAACTTGAACTAAACTTACTTCTCCTTTAAAAACATACAATTCTAAATTACGAATTTTAATAATTGCATCAACACTGATATTGCAAAAATCGAAAACATTCTCACGTTTTGGAGCTTCTGTAGTTACAGGTGCTAAGTAAATTATAAAAAGAAATTAAGAAAATCATTTTTAGTTCATATGTATACATAATATCTTTTCATAGGATAAATAATAGTGTATGTAAGATGATTAACCATCATTCCTAGATATCAGAAAGGGTTTTTGTGGATATTGGTGGTCTAGCTTCAATTAACCCATGATCTCAAATATTGAAATTACTATAATGTCTGCAAAAACCCCTTCTGATAATAATCATCTGCTCACTAGTGACTGACTTCAAGAGATACTCCTGGAGTTCCAGCGAGAAGCCGTTACCAGTGGAGTTCAAACAGGTCTGTTGTGAGATAACAACTCACTGAAGACAATGGTGTACGGTGGCTCAACTTCGTGGATTGGTTGAAGTTAGACATTAACACCGTTGGATGCCGGCTCAGTGGTCTAGTTGGTTAGGCGCCTGGTGCGAGATTGATAGGTCCTGGATTGGAATCTCGCGAGGCGGGATCGTGGAGGAGTCCCATAATAGGACGAAACGGCCGTCCAGTGCTTTCAGGTTTTCCATGATGGTCTAGCTTCAATTGATTCATGATCTCAACTATCGGAATTCCTAGATATGTTGAGTAAAAGTTCTTAGAATAACGAAATAGTTACTGTAAAATGGATTTAATATGATTTACTATTTAAAAAAGTGTGCTATTATGTATATTGCATGGTGTTTCATCCAACTATTGATAGGTTAAAAATTGATACAATGAATACTATAATTCCTAAACGGCCATTAGCTTTTTCTATATCAGTGTCATTTTTATGGGTTTCATAACACTACAGTGAATAAGTTTAACACTAATATGAACAGAGTAGACTGAAACATATAACGAAGATTATATTAACATATCATCGGTATCTTAAGTTTCGCGTAAGGCCATTTGTAGACGTCAACGTTTATATTAGTGATGAACAAGGTCTGTTCTTCTCTTTGATTTATTCTTACCACTAACGTATAATATTGAACCATGAGTCAAACTTTGTTATTATCTCAAAATAGTTTTATAAGTATAAATAATTATTTATCTTCTGTCGATAAATTATGAACAATTACTTTTAAATTCCTAAGAAACACAATATCAATGTGATAGAAATGGAATAATGAAGGCAAGGGAAAAGAGCTAACTACAGCCAATCCCAATATATGATAGATATGTAGTAATGTGAGCATTGATTTTTTATTTGGACTTGAACTTTCTATTAGTTAATTATTTTTGGAACAGATCACTTCAACAGTAAGCTAAGGATATTAGTATTCCGAACATTTCTAATTAGATGTGACAGTAAAATGATTTATCTCTTCACAGTCTTATACACATTAAATAAATAATTGTGATAATCAAATTTGGTTTCTTAATGTGAAGTTACTTTCGAGTATAGCCAAAAGATCATATTCATTAACAAAAAAGCAGCAGTGTAAAAATAAGGCTTATTCACTTCATGTATAATGCATTAGAAAGAAAGCATGGGTATGATTTAGAGTAAATTTGGTGTAAAAAACCTAATAAGATCACATAAAAATACAGATGAAATAAAAGAATTTGTAATTCAATCAAAATAAAAGCTACCTCCATACAGCTTTATTGTCAATAACAAGCAAAAAGACGAAAACAACCAAGGTTTTCGAACTTTCGCTCTCACATAAATACAACCTTCTTTCCTTAATTCTTATGTAACTGTTAGCGAGATTCGACTTCTTATTAAAATTTTACATATTTTCGTTATAATATTTCATGTGATCCGCCTGTTACCTCACGTGTAGGGGCAGAGGCCACCAACTAGCATTCTCTACCCAAATCTGTCCTGGGTAATCATTTCCAGTTTTTTCCAGTTGCTACTTATCTTTTTCATGTCTGCTTTCAATTTTCAAAACATTGTGTTCTTTGAGCTTGCTCCTTTCCGGCTCCTTTCAGGATTCCAAGTTAGAGCTTGCATTGTGATTCAGTTTGATGATTTCCCCAATGTATATCTTATCCACTTCCAGATTCTTTTCCTAATTTCATTTTCATCAGGAATCTGATTTATTCTGTCCCTCAGTAGGCTGTTGCTGATGGTATCCGACCAACGAACAACGAGCATTTTACGTAGACTATTGTTTATAAATACTAGTACTGTTTAATTGATGGTTGTGGTAGTCTGCCAAGTTTCGGATTCGTATAGTAGAACTGTCTTGATGTTGTGACTTTGATATTGACTGACGGTTGTTTGGAGTTCCATATGTTCTTCAACGGTAAGAATGCAGCCCTTACTTTGCCAGTCCTCGCCTTTACGTCTGCATCAGATCCTCCTTGCTTATCGATGATGCTACACAGATACGTGAGACTTTATAGAGTTTCTCCATCAAATGTGATTCGGTTGGTAGTCTCCGTATTGCATTTGAGGATCTTGATTTTTACCTACCGATGCAGAGGCTCCTGCTAGAGTGGCTTTATTGACCTGCTTTTGTTCGTGTGTATGAGATAGAATTGAATCTTTTATCAGTTTCAGCAACACTGCTGAAAACTTTTCTTTGTACCGGTAGTAGTGTGATGCCTCTTTAGTTCTCACATTTGCTCAGATCTCCTTTCTTCGGTATCTTTATGAAGTATCCTTCTTTCCAGTCTGTCAGTGGCACTCTCATTCCTCCCAAATCTTCTCGAATAGAATATTGAGCATCTTTGCAGTTGCTTCTGTGTCTGACTTTAGCACTTCTGCTGGTATATTGTCAGGTCCTGTTGCTTTCCTACTGTTGATTTTTCTGACGGTCATCCTGTTTTCCTGGGTCGTTGGTGGAGTGACATCTATAGGAATTTCCGTGTGAGCTACTTTGATATCCGGTGTATTCAATGGAGCTGGTCTATTCAAGAGTTCCTCAAAATATTTTACCCCTCTGTTCCTCTGTTCTTGAATCTCGGTGACTGCTTTGCCATGTTTGTTCTTGATCAATTTCTCTTCTTTGCAACCTGTGGTTGAGAGCTATTTCTTATTTGTCGTTTGTCAGTATGTTTAAGGAAGCCTGTATTGAACCTTTTTAATGCTGTTTCTCCAGTTGTCCATTTCTTCTTTAGCTTAAGTTTCATCTTTGCAACTACCAGGTGATGATCTAAAGCCGTGTCATCTCCTCTCCTGGCTCTCACATCTTCCACTGACCTTCTGAAATTTTTATTGGTGCGAATATGATCTATCTGGTTCTCCATGGTTTGGTTCGGTGGGATATATGTAGCTTTGTGTATGCGTTTGTGGGGAAACATGGTGCCACCTGTGACCAGTTTATTGAAGGCACATAGGTTTGCAAATCACTCTCCATCTTCGTTTCTTTCGCCCGGTCCATGTCGCCCCATGATGTCTTCATACCCAGTGTTGTCCATTCCAACCTTGGCATTTAGGTCTCCCATCAGAATGGTCAGGTTCTTTCCTTGACGATTCGCTGTGATCGATTTCAGCCTCTCGTAGAACTGATCTTTATTGTTGTTGTTGCCATCATTAGTGGGTGTATAACATTGGATATCATTTATTGTAATTCCCTTCTTCTTTGTTTAGGAGGATGCTTCGATGATTCAGGATCCATGAGATTGCCATCCTATAAGGGCAGTTAGTGCTTCTTTGGACAGCATCAGAGTGACCCCTAAGTGTGTGGAGCATTTTCTTCTTCGTGACCGGAGTACAGTAGCATCTCTACCGAATTTACCCTTTTCTATCCAGCTTGGGTTTATTTGATTTCGCTGATCCCAAGAACCGCCAAATTGTATCACCTCATTTCCGTAGCTATTTGGTTGGTCCTCCCGGTCTCTCACATTGTTTGGAAATTTATCATTATTTGTTGCTCTGGTTATTAGAAGAAGAATTGGCCTCATGAATTCCGAAGAATCTCGGCTTTCACGATGAGGAGTTATAATTCTTCCTTTAACTTTTTGGTCAGAGTTTAAATAATTTAATTTGTTTATTCTGGTCTGTGTTTTTTAGCAGTGTTGTTTTTTACGGAATGAGGTTACCAACCCCCATTCCCAACTCTCTTTTATCCGGGCTTGTGGCCGGCTGTAACTCTAGAATAACTACAGGCAGAGTTTCTACCCTACTAGCTTTTGTAAAATTTTTAAATAGGAATTTTTCGATGAAGTTATTAGTCACAAACCCAATGTTCAAGTAATATGTTACGTCAAGTATGTTTAATAGTTTTCCCTTTCATTCAGTGAATAAGTACTAGATACTGAAGTGTAATTCTTGTTAAAGAATTCACTTCCCATATCTACAATTAGGAACAATTGTCTCTTGTGAAAATATTGGGATAAACCTTATTACTTCAACATAGAAAATGTGACCGATAATTCCAGTAGAATTTTCCCTTCATATCTTATAATAAACAAAATTTCAAATGACAACTTTATAAATAGGTAAAACTATTATATCTGCATTGAAGTAGCTGAATAAATATACCATGAGCATTGAATTAAAATCTTATCCGTAATGTGTTTATGATTTTCATTTCTTCTTCTTTCACATTTATCATCAAATGATGAATACAATGATACAATTCAATCAAATAATTATGTTAAATCACATTTTTTCAATAAAACATAACATAAATATGAATCATTTCTGTCATAAAGATCTAGAATAATCAAATCAACAACACAATATGTCAGCTATGAAAATGAAAGTGTATTTATTTCATGAATTTTAATGTTACCTGTAATTTGAACACTTTCCCAATTATAATTTAGAAAAAAACTATCAAATATCAAGCAATCTAATAATCGTTTTAATTTGTGCACTATTTTGCTGGACATTTTAATACACTAAAGATTTGTATGAGACAGAATTAGTTCTTATACATTGTTAGGAAAATGACCTTTTATAGAATGATTCTTATATCTAGAGGTTAGATTCTTATTATACCGTGTACAACTTAAGCATTCAAACGCTGGAATTCTTTAAGTCGTAAATGAGAAGATAGGTGAAAGAAATGCTATTCCAAACAGTGTCAAACATGGTACAAAACTATCTGGTATTTATAATTTTTTAGTAAAAACGAAATCATCATTATATTCATCCAATCCAACTACAGGGGGTTTAAGTATGTGTCCAATAGGTAGGATACATGTATAGATTCTGAAATATTACCCCTAAAGATGATTGGACGGAATATCTTCGGCTCTTTCTGAGCTTCTTAGAGCCATCCCCATAATGATATTTTCACTTGAATCAGATTATGATATTAATGTATGGTTTAAAAAAAGCAAAGAATATTAATGTTTAACTACTGAGTATGTTATTGAAAATTCTGATTGCCAATTTTTATAATGATAGCATCAATTTAATGTACATTTACAAATGACCATTTGAAGCCATATTGGAAACTTACGATTATATATGGTTTCGAATTTATAAAATACCTAATTTGCGAACATTAATGACTACTTAATTAAATTTAAGTAGTCCATATTTTTAACTGAAAGAAAATGAACTTACGTGGTGGGGGTATATCAGGCAAACTTGGTTCAGGTGGTATAAATTTACCCGGTTTAGCAGCACCTTAAATAAAACAGAAACGGGATGAAAAATTGTAAATAATTAAATACACTTCAGATTGTATAAGTAGATATAATTAAGATTAGACATATTGTGTCTAGACATGAATAAGTTCAAATAAAATTGTTGATGGAATAAATATTTTTATATATACACATTAGACTAAACTGTTTTAGGAAATATAATTTAAATAGTAGTAAACAGTGATAAAACAATTTAAATGTGAAAACTTACTACCTAGTAATTTATAAAAGTTCACATACAAATAAGTAAATATATTGATGTTTACATACAATAAGATATTGTGACAAGATAGTGGAGTTTCATAACATTCATAAAATAAAAGATAGAATAGACAGACAAAATAGTGCATTATCCAAAGTTGCCAAGTTCTTCATAAGGATATATAAGTTGAACAAAAAATTGGAAGTACTTGAAATAAACAAGAAGAGAATGAGTCAAATAGGGAAATATTGCTGGGCCATAAATTATTTAAGATTTTGAAGAAGATAAAAGTAAACGTATCTGAGCTATTCTAACAAATGTTGTGCCAAATCACTTAATGGATATATATATATATATATACAGTGCAGTGTTCCACATGTGTTAAGGTTGGTCATTCCTTATCCGGTGAAGCCGGTTTGCTTTCTAAAAATGTTTTCCGTTTCGCAAGCCTCATAAACTAATCTCATGGGTGTTGTTTAATAGGAAAAGTATTAACCTCAGGTCTTGGCACGCAGGCGCTGCAAAACAGGCAAGTATGAACTACATGCACACCGGTAATACACAAGTTTTCACCCATAAATTCCAGAGCATGCATATAGGTATATTCACCCACATGGGAGCGTGGATGGTCACTGGTACCTTTGAACGTATTTGCTGCAGCTGACTGTCACCTATGCATTACATGCAAATGACTGGTACGACGGCTATCACCTCTGAGCTTCTTGACAGACCCATAAGCATAAGCCCTTTTTCAAGGAAGGTTGATGGTCACCTCTCTTCAGTAATTTCTACCATATTTTCTTATGTCTTCGCCCTGAAGGATTAAGCTACTGATTTCATTAGGGATAGGGGATACATTTTTAGGCCTACGTTCCTTGTGCTTACCCAAGCGCCTATGCGTTGGATATACCTACACACATAAAACACGCAAGCTGAGACTAATGCAATTAATATACATAAGCGTACATGTCAGGAAGCCCGTAAGGTTTTAGAGAGCCCCGAAAAACTGAACCCAGTTAATACGGTTTACAGCAGAGTGACGGATGAGTTCGATCTCTTGCGACCGCCCTGATTCGTTAGCAAGATCTTGCCTACTGACCAGTAGCGCCACGAGGAGGCCTTAGTTGGATTTCGCCACCTACACGCTAGTATTAAGTTTCCCACTAAATATTTGTGAATAATGAAAATTAATGAAATGACACAAAGTTATTTTATTCCTGCTTATTTCAGTGGAACTTTCATGCTTCCAGTGTTGGGTGATATAAACATTGGTACGACTTAAAATTGTTTGGTTGAATTAAACTCTATTCGTTTGATGTTTGCTGTAGTTGAACAAAATTGAATCATGTAACAGATATTGGGCTATACGTGTTATTCTGAACTACCATAATTTTTGGTTCAATCGTAACAAACGTCTAGCCTGTCCGATATAATGATTACAACCACACAAATTCACATTATTGTTATTAACAATATGTAGTGATAAATTTCTAGAGAAACCAGGTCACATTTTGAAAAAGGGAGTGAATTGCTTTTCATATGAATTCAATAAACGTTATGTGAGTTTTCCATTATTCAATTTCATTTAATGCAACAACTAATGGTAATTAAATAGTCCAAAATAGATTTTCAAATTCTTGTCTCATTAGGAATTAATAGAACAATATTTAACGTATTTTTATCACTATTGGAACTGTAAGAAATCTGGCTTCGCAAGTAGTCAGTTTTGCTATTTAATATGATCTGGTTCATATGCCGTTTCAGTGAGCATAAAAAATAATAATTTCTGACGAAGCATTAAATCGTTTCAATAATTTATACTGACAATCAACTGTACTACAAAAGAAATCAATGATTACCTAAGGAATAAATTATTTATGAACTTAGCTAAAACCCACAATATGCACAATGATTAAGATTATGCCTACTATCAATGAACTCAATTTTGCAGTAAATGGATAAAACGATTATATGATGATGAATAAATCGCATCATGTAACACAAACTGACTGAATGATTCATGTTGATTAGTTAGAAATCTAAATGAACTGTTCAATAAGGTTAGTTCAGCTACAGAACAGTATGAGTGAAAAATTAGAAGTAAGGAAAATTTTATATCATGTGTATTAACAAACTAAACTGTCAAAATATAATCTGTCCCCTTCTTATAACGTAAATCTCTATACAGTAAATCTGATTGGAAGTCTATTGACTGATTTGTATAAATTAAAACTAAAATCCATTTGCTAATGACCCGTCAACTCAATGAACAAGGAAATGATTTGACATTTGAAGCACTTGAGTCCTAGTCATTAAATCACAAGTCCAAATCTCCTTCCAACCTCTTTGGTTTCGGTAGCCGGTTGATAACACTGGTCTTATATAAGACGTATAGTTGAAAGTTAAGCACATATGCTTGTACTAAAAATGAGTTATATATTTATCCACATATATTTATACCGTACATGTAAATTTAAGTACATTATTAAAACTACCTTACCAGTAATTTTTTTATATCATATACAGTAGTTTTTAGTTTACTAACTAAGTGTTTTAATTTCAATCGAATAAAAGATATCATTCGTTTGAATGGTATGCTTACCATAAATTTGTTGTATTCCAGCGATATCATCTGGATCCAACTTAACTTTTTCCCATGTTCTTGTGTAGTAAGGATACATAATTGCAGTTGGTACAGATGAATGACCTAATCCTAAACTGTGCCCTAATTCATGAGCTGCGACGGAAATCAAATTTCTATGTGCTGTAAAGAAACAATATGAAAACACAAAATAAAATTTATAAAATCTTGAAATGTGTTAGAAAGTTGGAGGTAGTAGACAGGATACATTGTATCTAGGTTTCATATTATTTAACACTCGTAAACAAGACATACAAAAATCTTGAGCGAACAGGTGCTCACTGTGGGATTTGAACCCACATCACCTGCCCTCACGGTCTGCGAAGTTATCACTTAGATATTCAGAGTGAAACTGATCTCTTATAGGACTGATCTCTTACATATAATTGATTGATCATTAATTTAGTGATCAACGTCATACATTTATAATTCTTCTTTTTAGTTCCAATATCAAGCACTCATTCACTGAATGAAAGGGAAAACGGTTGAAAATACTTAATGTAACATATTAATTGTACGTCGGATATATGATTACTAACTTCATCGAAAAATCCCCATTTAATAATTTTACAGTGGCTAGTAATGTAAAGTCATATTCCTTTACAATACTCTTTTTCCACGCTAATATACAAATATTTAACATTAATAATAAGATCAATAACAATCATATGCTCATGTGTCAAATAATATTACTACGAATTCAAAAGATTTTACAATGATAATTAGAAGATTTGCTAAACATGACATCGGTTGGTACTCAATGGTTAATCAAATAATTCTCAGTTCTGATAGACTGGAGATACTTATTTCCTTTATATTTAAGTGATCTTGAGATTTAATGCGGAGGCCGTGTTTGTTATCTGGTGAGGAAGTGTGAAAAACGCTCAGGATCTAATTGTAACTCAGTGATTTTGCTTGAAACCAAATAGAAATTATTTTTCTCATTTTTATTCATATTACTTACAAGTTGAAATCCCTCTATCGATAGTTTCCATAGAATTTCAGTGCAAAATAAAAGCTATTTTCTTCTCATTAACTACCGAATACTGTGGTTAATTGAATTTATACTTATCCTTATAGACTTCTGCTCAATGGTCTGAGCGTCAAGCGTTTGCACATGCAAACAAAGGTTCTAAGTTTGAGTCTTGGCCATTGGGTAGTGAGTGTGTACTGTTGAGTAGTTCTGCACTAAAACGAAGTACCCATTCAATGCTTCCAGGTTTCCATTGGTTATAGAAATCTCGATCGATTCGTGGTTTCACTGAAGTTCAACAATCTTCATAAACAAATACCGACTATTCAATAACCCTAAATACTAATTGACGTAACTAGAGCTATATTCAAAAATTTAACTTGTAAAAAATATAGAAACAAATATTACTTTTATGTGGTCCATCATTCCAGATTTCATCATCGTCAAAATGTGCATCACCAGAAAATGAATATACATTATCCGGTGTTGGATAGTAAGCATGTGCTAGTACTCCACCTATGTAATGAAAAAGAGATTAGAAAAAATGTGGCAAACATTTTATTATTGAGCAATGAAAACAAAAATTATACAAAAATCTTTACAATTCACAAATTAATTTGTTCAATATAATTGGCGAAGGTAGTTTTTAACGTTTTTAGTATCCCTTTAGTGTACTGTATCCAACTATTTGGGTAAATATTTCGCTAACTTAGTGAGTGCTGCATAGCCCAGTGGAAGTTTCAGCAAGTTTTCCGTCCTTAGAGTTTGAAGATATCCTTAGCTGTTTACTAAAAACATATTCAGTGTAAATTAGATAGGTAGTAGGTAAGTCCCATATGGTAGAGTGTAACTTTAATCAAAGATTTCATTTACAAACCCTAATGTTTACTACCTTTGTGTTCTTAATCAGAAATTTCAATCAGTCAATCAGCTATAACGACTGACTGAAACTAGCTGGATATTTCTGATGAAGAACACAAAGGTAGTAAACATTGGAGTTTGTGAATGAAATCTTTGATTAAAGTTACACTCTACCATGTGGAGCTTACCTACTTAATGGACAAAAATTCGATTGAAAATGATGTATAACATAATAAATATTTAAAATGATTAGTAACGCTAATAGTGATTAAGAGGTATCAGATTGAAATACTATTCATATTTATACATTAGAAATATATTCAATGTGAGATTCCATTTTTAATCGATCAATGTGTTATTTCTACAATATCATTATGAATATCAGTATCAGTCCTATATTGTAGCTGACTGACTGATTATCATTGAATAGCCAAAAATACACAGTGTAATAAACTTTTTAAAAAAGTTACGTAACTATTATTTGGACAAATGGTACTGTTCACAATTTAATTTATTTGTTTATTTCAACACGTAGATAATGGTACAAAGAGGCACCAAATACATATCCACCACACAAATCTCATTCGATATGTGTGAGGGCTGTGATACTGACCGGGTGCCCAGACCGAAACAGGTGGTTTTCTTAGGGGGCCACACCCTGAGCCTTCGACCTGAAGGTCTGATCCACAAGACAGTGGAGCATTGCAAGGAGATGCAGTCCCATGGAAGCCGGTGACCAACAATTGGTTCATACGCCATTTGTTCCCGCAGGATACTGGAGCCCATGTGCACCATTGGTTTTGAACCCGGTTAAAGCGCCGGACATTCGCTTTTCGTCCTCTCATTTTTGTAAACAACACCCCCGCGCACGAGAAGGTAGTGAGTAGGACTTCCCTGGCAGAGGCTATATACCCGTGGCCGTGTGAGAGCATTTCGAGAGGGAGAGCGGACTCTCCCCTCTCTCGGCCGTACCAGGGCATTTGGGGGCTCACAATCTAATTATATTATGGTGAAGTTGAAAATTCTTTTTTCTTAAATATGTCATTTTTTATACCTTCAGTAAGTCAATCATCATTATTATAGAGTTAAAATCGGCCCAAGTTTCTATACTACATTAACACGAAGAAATGAATATAAAAAGGTGAATGACAAAAGTGATCCAAATCATTTAATAGAAATGATCATGAGAATACTGTTCAAATGACAGGATGGAAGAGTATGTGTGAAGAAGTACAGGAATACAAGATCAAAAGGAAGGTAAACAGTGAAACACATGTGGTATTGTGAATGGTTCTGAGCCTTGTCACATAAAATCTTAAACTATAGACAGCGGATATCGCAAGTATCAAAAATTATAAAGTTATCGAGAATTTAACATTCAGTGTTGAACAACATTACAAGATTGCGGAGTTTTACTCATTTAAGTATATTTTACCAAGTTCCAGTCAATATATATAATTAAAATGCACATATATTAATGGAATTACTAACCTGCTCCATCAAATGGTATAGAATCTCCATGTTTGCCAGCTCCAAATCGTATCACAATATCAGCTGGTTTATAATAATCTTTTTCTTCCACAAAATCTAAATTAACCACTCTTGACCATAAATTGAATGTATGCTGAAATACTGCATGTGCACGTACCCTTGATAAAGAATGTGATGGATAACTCTGAATTCTAGAAGAATAAAACCAAAGACAATGAACGAGAGTGAAGTGAAGGGCGAATAACATTTGTTAACATATCAAAATTTTAATTATATTATTTAACTGAATAAAACATGTTATAAGAAAAAGTTAGTTTAAATGTGTTAATGTCTATACACGGTAGTGATTCATAGCTAAATTCTAAATGGAAATATGCCAAACATAACATTTAACAACTATAAACTATAAAGATAAACTTTTGAAAAATCCTTGTTAATTCAGATACCAAGCTAGTAATCTCAGTAGTTCTACTGAAGGTTTCTAGTCGGGTTACATTTCGTAAACACTCATACTCATTGATAGCTCGTAGTATAGTACTCCCTAAAGAAAATTAGGGCATAGTTCCTGCAATCTTACACTTTAAATTTCTGGCCAGATACTATATCTATACTCACAGTTTACATACTCTGAAGAAAAAAAACTGTGGTTTCAATTTTGTAAGCCAGAAAATAATTTACCCATTACTAATGAATATAAACTCTGAGATGCAAGTACATCCAGCTGATAAGTCCCAATCAAGACAAAATACGCGTCCTAGATTCCACTGCTGGCCACCATCGATATCCGCCTAAAAATGCTTGTGACTTACTAGCAATATTGAGGCGATTCGCACTAGGTCCACATATGCCAAAAAGAGACTGATCAGTCACAGTTTTAAAAATTAATGGGGAAACTCAAACAACCAATATATATAAATTTCAATAGTTGAGATCATGGGTAAATTGAAGCTAGACCATCATGGAAAACCTGGAGGCACTGAACGACCGTTACGTCCTATCGTGGGACTCCTGAGTAGTGCACATCCACGATATATATAAATTAAAAATTACTCATTACTAGTTTTATTAAATTATGAGTAGTCCTAAAATATTCTTTGTAAATTGTTCCAACGTTTGGTCTTACGAGTATAGAAAGAAAGGAATTTTTTTGATCAAGTATGGTTTTCATAAGATATGAATGATTGGTTGAAGTTAAACGTTAACACCTTTGGATGCCGGCTCACTGGTCTAAAGGTTAAGCGTTCGCACATGGGTTCGAATCTCACGGAGCGAACTCGTGGATGCGTACTGCTGAGGATTCCCATACTAGGATGAAACGGTCGTCCAGTGCTTCCAGGTTTTCATGGTGGTCTAACTTCAATTGACTCATGAATTGGATTATTAAATGGATTATATTGAACTTATATTAGATTAAATAATTATTTACGATTTGTATTATATTTCTTGTTAGTAAATATATTTTAATTTTTGTTCTTATTCTCACTAATACAATCATGATCTATTTAATAATCCAAGATTTCTATAGAATGCTGAAATCAATTAATAACGTACTCAAAATGATTTTAATTCTTAATCAGTTTGATGGTTTATTTCTTGAACAATCTAAAATATCTGTGTACATGAAAACATTTAAACATATTATAAACAAAAATAATATATCTGTAATATCCCAATGAGTAGAAAAATTATATATTCTGATGTTTCGTGACTTAGTGTAAGCCACTTCTTCAGAGAATAAGTAGGCAAATTCAACATATTATTAACATAGATAAATACTGTAAATTGATTATTTTATTAATATATATATACCATAGTAGTTGGTAAGTTTGTAAAGAAAAAAAACAAAGTAATATTTTCAGTAGTTTACAAAATTATGCATAGAAAGGGACTAAATAGAATAGAGAAATAAAGACTGAATACATTAACTGTGTTATTTGATTTTGTTTGATTGACCTCCGGAAGTATAAGTGACTTTATATATATATATATATATATATATATATATATATATATATATATATATATATATATATATATATATCACATTTATTTCTCGTGATGATGAATAAATATCAAGCCAAAGGATGTACTATTAAACATATGTAATTCAAAACATAATTATGCAAATGACTTGAACTTTAAGCGTAAATTTTTTCTGCATTAAAATGAACATGTAATAATGTATAATTTTAGGCATAGAATCTATTCAAATATACTGGAAATGACTAGTTAAAATGTTATTCTACATTGAATCAGTAATCAATGACATGAAATGATGAATGTCAATCATTTGATCACAAAGAAACCAACAACAAGTTCAAAATAAGTAGTAAGTAAGAGTTCATGTTTATTTATTAGTGAAATACATTGTGAAAAAACAAAACAAAACAGCTGAGAGATTATAATTTAAGTAAATAAAACTCAAGGTTGAATATTTCGTTATTGTTTGATTGAACAATGCGGAGTTTTGGTAAAGTTGAATTCTCTAAAGTAGATGATTTAATTGAGAAGTTTTAATTAGTTTCAGATAGAAGTGAGCTATGACGATACATTTCCAAATGACGATGATTATAATCGATTCTTGCCAATACTTGTTCTACCATTGTTTGCACATTTATTTTGGTTGTTTTTCACCTTCAAACTGAGTCTTGGCCACATATTCATGTATTATTGGTTGATAAATTAGATCCACGCCGATATGTTTATTGCTTACTGACTAACCTAAATACCAAACTTTTTAAAATACTCGGGACTTGTGTTGCTTCTGAACACTTGTCCAAGTACATTGATATAAGTGAAGATATATCGTGGCGCTTGACAGCCAATTAATGTTGATGAAGACGACGATGAGGAAGGAAACTACTCTGTTCAATGTAATGTTTTTTTGCATTTCGGAGAGTTTTTTCTATGATGATAGTTGGCTCATCTTCTTTTGTTTTTCCTTTCAGTATGTTCAAGTTTGATTTAAGTTATATTACTGGTTTATGAGCTATGCCACTTTCTAACGGTTTCAATAATACAGTTATTTCCTATATCTCTTCTATATATTGTAGAATAATCCGTTTACTGGTTTCCATAACTGAGTTTATACTTATTGATAAGTTCGATTAATGTGTTTTGATGTAGTTGTGCAGACTGCTATTCATTTAAAACACAATCATTGGGTGTTTTTCTTGATTTCTTTATACAGTAGGCGTGCCGCAGTATGTTCTCTCTTTAATAGTGCTTTTAGCAGATCGATTCCATAAATTATAAGGTTGTCGATTCTAAATTTAAAGATTTAACTCTTATGAGTTAGTTTGATAGAAATTTGGGTCTCCAGATTTTTTATTTTTATTTTGGTGAAAAACACATTCAAAATAGGTAATTTGTTGTTTGAATCCTTTTCCACTGAGGATATATATATATATATATATATATATATATATATATATATAAGATATATGTATCATCAGTTCATTAAACCAGATGTAATATGTCTCTCAATAAGAACTACATACGTAAGTAATGTGAACTTCGAACTAAATAAAAAGCTATTTTTGGTTGTTGAAGGGCTACTTTTGTTAACTATAACCGAATACCATCAAAAAATTAATGCACCATTTCTTAGTATATATGGATAAAAAACAGTACCTATTGAACTCTAATGTGAATATTGTGAATTTATCATTTTCTAGACATCTTGGTGGCCTATAAACATGAGCACTCCACATAGGCTTTAAAAGTGCTCTTCATTCAAAATAATACTGAATAAATGGTATTTACCTTGAAATACAGTCATGGTATATAACTAGACCAATACAGAATGAACGGCCACTAAATTTTACTGATATAAATTTCTCGACTTCAATTGGATTGGGATTGAGAAAAGTTCTTTATATAAGTAGTACAATATTATAGATGAGTAATTATTGACAGTTCTGGTTTATGAATTCAAAGACCATCTATCTAGTTAATTTCTTATATAAAGCCAATATTATTCATTTTTTATTCAATATTTTGTAATAGTAATATAATTAGGAATTAGGAAATACAAGTAACTACTCGCAATGAATTTTGGATTTTTACAAATGATTGATCATTGAGTGGTGACCAATATCACGTTTGTCAGGTCTTTCTTAGTGAAGATCGAATTCTGTCGATCAAGTTGCAATGTAACCACTAGTCTAAATGACTCGACACTGCGTGAACTATGTTGAGAAGTAAGGTGATGCTTGACGGTAGTCGACAGAAAACCTTGGACCTCAGTTTCGACTAGTCAGCGAGATATACCTGATGGATTTGATCCGTGTCACCCAGTTACTGGATTAGTTCAGTAGTGACTTCTCTGGATATGAGACACCTCATAAAACAGATTAGAATACCAAGAGAAGCATTATTTTTCTTAAAATACGACAGATACATTTTTTAACGAGTGCCAATCACTACAAAACTTAGGTGCTCACGACTTCGTTTTGATTACGTGTACAAAATAATCTATAATATTCCATTACTTTTCATCATAATTATGTTTGACCTTTGGATCGGTACAAAATTAGAAATAATTTAAGGTTCAAAATCAATTTCAATTGCGATTATATATTTAGTTCTAGTTCATTTTAAGTCATTTAAAACATTTATGTGCCAAATTATTATTTACAGAATACAATCCACGTTGTGGTGTTGTTACGACCATACGAAATCATTGTTTTTACTTGTAATCATTAAAACTACATCCTGTATGAAAATTTGACGCTAGTAACATTCAGTTTATTTGTTTTGTTTTTAACTAAGAAACTTCACACCAAACGTTTAAAACAGTCAAATAAAACTGACATATATTCAATTTAGGCTAATAATAATCATATGGATTATATTTATTTCAACATGTTTGTCATACGTCGAAAAAGTGGAAGAAAATGTTTTTTAGTAGTATATACATCTAAATATGTTACGAATACTATTTAGTAATATAAATTCTTTTCTTCCGAAAAGTGTTGTAAAATTAGGAAGATTTAAATGTGCTTTACATCATAATATGTTAGAATAATGAAACGGCCGTCTAATGCTCCCAGGTTTTCCATGGTGGTCTAGCTTCAATTGACTTATGATCTCAACTAGTGACATTTCTAAAAATCTCCACAAAACCCCTTCTGATAATAATCATCTGCTCACTAGTTACTGACTTCAAGAGATACTCCTGGAGTTCTAGTGAGAAGCCGTTACCAGTGGAGTTCAAACAGGTCTGTTGTGAGATATCAACTCACTGAACACAATGGTGTACGGTGGCTCAACTCGTGGATTGGTTGAAGTTGGACATTAACACCGTTGGATGCTGGCTCAGTGGTCTGGTTGTTTAGGCGCCTTGCGCGAGACTGATAGGTCCTAGGTTCGAATCTCGCGGGGTGCGGGATCGTGGATGCGCGCCGCTAGGGAGTCCCGTACTAGGACGAAACGGCCGTTCAGTGCTTTCAGGTTTTCCATGGTGGTCTAGCTTCAGTTGACTCATGATTTCAACCTGTGAAATTTCTAAAAATCTCCACAAAACCGCTTCTGGCAATAATATTAGTCAATGGTAGCTTCATTTTCTGTAAATACGTTCTGCGATACAGTGGAAATAGTTTAGAGCTGGAAGTTATTTATAAACAGTATAAAAATTATCATATCATATCGTTCCGCAGATAAGTGAGCTTTTTAACAAAAAATCTTCATTTAAATGTCAATAATGAATAAAACTGAAACATATGTTATATTATGAATAGATTGGTAACGTCGGTCTGGGGATTTATGGAGATTATTGAGTGTCACTGAGATCGCGAACTGACCTAAGTTAGATAACCTTCAGACGGATGATTATAATGTACATATTAGCTACTAACTTCTAGCAGAAATACCTGAAGTTCTAGTGAGAAGCCGTGATAAGTAGAGTTCAACCATGTAGGGTGTGAGAGAATTTTCCAGAAGAAACAATGAATGATAATTGTGCACTATCGCGAATCAATTGAAGTTAAACACCTTTTCAATGGTCTTGAAGTTAAGGATCCATAGAAGAAGCCAATGATGCTAAGTTTAATCCTCGGTGAAAGGGTCATCGATGCGCACTGCTTATTGTTTCATACTAGTTTGAAACAGCTGTTTAGTTCCTCCTGGTTTTCAATAGTTATCTAAGTTAGAACAGTTTGTCATTTCAGTGAGAAAAATAATAACTATAAAAGAAGACTATCATGAATAAATTGGAAATGAAATCTGTTTACAAATTAAATTAACTAAACTGGTTTATAGCATAAGTTGCAACAAGTCATTTATCTACAAATTTCGAGCTTAAATCTAACTACTACTTATGTCCTGTTATGTAGATATGGTTTTCATTTTAACTTAACACCAATATGATATACTTTAACCAATTATTTAGACTTATATCTAAGATATATATAAATTTGTAAGTTAAACTTGATTAAAGCGAAAATAATTCAGGGGAAAGAAAATTATACCCTTATTAAAAAAAAAACAACTAAAAATACATTTCACACACTGCCAAGTTAATTGTTTCTTTGTCCATTTCATTTTTTCATCACCAATTAAATAACGTTTTTGTCTTTTTAATAATCTTCTTTCATTGTGATTATTATTAGCATTTGTACAGTTAATGAATAATTATGATTAAAATGGAATGTACTGCCAAATTTTAATTTGGATAATAATGTTGATGATTGTTTCAAATTAATTTGTTGATCTGGATTGCCACAACGTGGTGAAATTAATAGATTTTTTGTAGCTTCATCTAATTTACCTGTAATAGGTAGATTATAGTGTCTTTGAAATTTTTTAATTGCATTATTAAATTCTTTCGGTGGATTAGTTAATGATAATTTATCTGGATAAAGAAATTTAGATTCATATGGATTTTGATCTGGTGGTATAGGGTTACCATTATTATGATTATTATTATGAGTTTTGGAATAGTCATCCATGTACCCGTATCGATATAGCAAGTTCTAGTTTAAGAAAAAAACAGAAAAAAACAGTTGAAAAAGTTACAATTATATATACATATATATAAACATTTCAATTCACAGGAGAAACTCGACATATTTGAATGTGACCTTATTCACAAAACCACCATTCGAGTATTCGTTAAGAAACAAAAAAAGGTAACATACAAGTGCATTTCTTGCTTTTCAAATTTTTTTTCAACAATACTTAATTGACTTCACTTGGCGATGTTTTACTTGTAACTTCCCATTGTTATTTAGGACTGCAATTGATCAGTCTCATGTTGGCATATGTGCATCCTGTGCGGATTGCCTCGATATAGCCTTAAGTCATAAGCTTTTTAAGCAAAGATGAGACTGATCAATTGTAGTCCTAAATCACAATGGGAAGATAAAAAACAACAACACCAAGTGAATTTAACTTCACCCCATTGCACAAGCACGTGGCTAACAGGTCTCAGTAGCTAAGTGGATAACGCGATGGCGTTTAAAGCGAACGGTACTGGGTTCGAGGCCCAGGGTGAACATCAACTCTGGGATGATGGTACACGCAGATGACGATTCCTAAATAGGACGGAACGTGCGTTCTAGATTCCACTGCTATTTGCTATCCATCTGTGCTTAAAAAAGTACTTAATTGGCGTTTAATTTTCCTTGAAACTCTATTAGCAATTCGTTTGTTAGAATTAAAGCGAATTTCTAGTAAATAAGATTTTCTAACATGGTGTAAACATATCACAAGGCATTAATTAATTCGTCATGTTAATCTTTTACTATTTATTAACCTAATGTCATTAATATGCTAAATTGGTTAAATGTTTGGTTTACAAACGAAAATTTTGATTTTCTAATATATTTACTTAATTGGGTAGTGGTTGTGTTTCATGCAGTTTTGTCTAGTTGGAAATAGGTTTCATGAAAAAGTTATCACTTTTATCGATTTAAGGAATCTAGTATTTTATCAAATCAATTGAAACTTCAGAAAATTATTTTGTTATATATATTGTATTATTTTTTAATGAATGCTCATTACAGTCACTGAGTATGTCAAAACATTCATAGTTGTCTTCAGTGGTATACGAGAAATAGTTAGATTTTTTAATGTGGTGACTTTACTTGAATACTGAGCTTGGTTGCCATTATTCGATCTATAGATATGTTCTTACTGGGATTAGTATAATTCCTGTTTATTGTTTGCTGTAACTGGATATCAGAAAATTATATTTTAACTAGAAATACAAAATTATTTTGTCACCAGGCGATGTAGACTAAAGAATGAATGATCTGTTTAAAACCCACACATCAGGAAACATATAAAGCTTCAAGCTTATGAACATACTAATCGACTTTATTGTTAAAAGAAAAGACAAGCTATACAAAAATGATATATGTGCTCAAGTTATTTATCATTAAAAGATACACATGTAAATAGCTTTCATCTATATTAATAATGAGTAGTAATTATAACATGATTGAAAACGAACTCATGTTTATCTAGTTTTCATTATCAAATTGGTTTATATTAATGTTCGAGATTTGTTATATATATATATATATATATATATACCGGCATGTTGTGTATTAAATTAACTGCTGACATACACTTCCTGTAACTTCCGTTTCAGAGTATTATTAGTCTCAGTGAAATATCAACAATGAAATTACTTGTACTTTTCACTAAACCCATCTCAACAACAACAACAACTTATGATCAAGATCCAAATCTGATATTTACTGTAATTAAATATGCACAATTAAACATTTTCTTCATTTATTGGAATGACATATATATATATATATATATATATATATATATATATATATATATATCATTTTATTTCGATCAGCCTGTATAAAATATCTGATTACCCGTAGCTAACAATAAACAATATTTATTCTATCATGATACATGTAAACATGACATAATATTTAATTTACTAGTTACAGACGATAGTCTAGAATAGAATAAAATTTTGATTATAATAAAAAAGTTATTTTGTCTAGTTAATCAATTGGTTATTTTTGCGCTTATAAAATAAATGAAGAGAAACTAAGTTTACGAAATAAATAAAAGGCATCATTACATAAGTATTGGTAATAAACGTGTTGAATTTAGAAACAATTCTTTTTTTCCAGTAAACAATGTCGCTCAATTGAATTATTTTCTGGTTAGTTTTTTTTTACCGAGTTAGATTTCTACAGGATGGGGTCACTAATCCCATGCTCGATCATCCTCCTTTATCCGGGGTTGGGATCGACAGTGTTTATTAACAATTGTCTACGCAAAATACTTCGAATCCGTTGACCAGACACTATCAGCAACAACCTACTGTGGGAGAGAACAAATCACATTTCAGCGGAGGAAGAAATCAGGAAGAAGAGCTGGAAGTGGATAGGACACACAGTGAAGAAAGCACATAACTGCAAGCACTCACTTGAAATCCTCAACGCAAAAGAACACATTACGCCGAGAAATGGAGACAGACATGAGAAGAATGAACAACAATTGGATAGAACTAGAAAGGAGTGGATTGGAGAGAGCTGATCGGCAGCCTATTTTTAATTGGGAGTAACAGGCGTAAGTAAGTAATAACACTAAAACATCCATACATTGAACCATATAACTTCAAGTTTTTAGAGTATTCTCAAACACTATCGTGAATATATTAGTTTTTAAACTAATGAATCCAATCTTAATTATTAACGTTTACAACATTAAGTAAACAGTAACATAATATTGCTTGTTTTATGAGCTTTACAGCCATTATACTTTACTCGAATAAATCAAGAAACATTGAGCTGTTAATCCGAAACTTCAATTAGATATCCGAGAAATAATTTGGGAAAAAGTAATGATGAGGCAACATATGTAGAAACTTAAGTAAAAAATGCATTCTAAGTTGTTTTTTTAACCAGTAGCCTGTCAATATCAAATTCAAGCAGAGTGGGTAATTTTTTTGTAATCAGGAAATGGCTTTATATATTAGATTACTTTGATAATAATTAATATTGAAAGTTGTTATCAGTGAACAAATCATTTGATATACAAAAATAACGAACAATTCTATCGTTTACACTTTTTGATTTTGTAAAAAGTACACTTTAGCCAAGATCATTGAAGCTAAAAATGAAAATGACCAAAGATTATAAGTTTCAACTCAGAATGGAACAATGTTTTGACCTTCAATTGTTCATCTTCAACCAGTGTAATTTAGAAAAACCAAATTTGAAGTGTAATTTTTAAAAAAATATTTTATTAAAATAAAATTTCTATATTAATTACTTTAAGAGTTTACTTAAAAATACAACCAAGTAAACATTCTTTCAGTGAAAGTATTTTATCGCACTTTTATGAAAAATGTGATGAAAATAAACAGGATTACTGGTGGTTTGGATTCCAAGCCGTATCTGATAAAATATGGAGTTGTATAACCAGTATTATAAATGTCCTAAAGATAATCCAAATTGACAAAAGCCGCTCTAGATTTTTTACACATAGATTGATGTCATCTGATACACCACTCATATCATTAACAAAACTCCCCAGATATACGAATTTTCTGACCATTTCCAGTAGTTCACTATGAGGAGTGGGTGTTAGCTGAGACCCATGCTAGCCTTACAGAAGTCATTTGAATTTTAACAGTGAAGTTTTTGCGGACACACTAGGGTATGACCAGAATCCATATAGAAATTCAAACAAGTAATACAGTCTAATACGTATCAAGTTCAGGGATAGATGGTTACAATATCATCAACTTGAATACAGACACCTAAATGACTAAGGTGGACGGGGTTCGCTTTTTTCTTGGAACTCTTATATAACCTCGGGTTTATAGTTACTGTCTAGTAAGTCCTCATTGAGAGAGGAAAAGCAGATGCTCGGAGCTTAAACCGAGTTGGTGGATACTAGATTGTTATTTTGGTCACCAACCACCATGGAGTCGCATCTCGTGACGTTGTGGACTAGATCCTTCAGTGAAAGTTTCGAGGAGCAGTCTTCTAAGTAAACTACCTATATCTCCATGGTCAAACGGGAATTATCCGAGACCAAACAAATATAGATCAAAGAATAACTATGAAGAAAATTTTCTACTCATTTCACCTCACTACCCATTCAAAAGATATTTCTAATCGAATTATCATAAACGAACTTGTTTTATAATACATCAAGTTTCTATTCCGTTTAATTTCCATTGTGTGTTTTTCACTGTTCAGTTCATTCAGTAGCTCATATCTATTAAAACTTTGAAATTTATCGCTATTCACTTAAAGCATGTAATAAATTGTCGGATCATTTAGGCCTTGGAATTCTTTCCGACTAATCTAGAATAAGTGTGTTTAAACATGATATATTTGTGATTGTAAGCATTTGGATGATACCATACATTGTCATTATGGATTTTAACGCTAAATACAATCCTGATAGATTATTGTTATAAATAAATGAGAGTATTAATATAGAAGATGGAAAACAATCCTACCACTTTTTGACAATGAATATAAAAATATATAGTTACTTTCATATTTGCAATAGTATTTCAAACATGTTGGTACATTTTCCCATTGATCAAATTCCATTTTTACTTAATTTCTTGATGATTTAAATTTGAAGTTCTGTTTTTTAATTCAAATTATGTGATCAAGTAAGGAATAATAAAAGTAATGGGTTAACTTGTCCAATATCATGGAAATAGTTCGATAACGATAAGACTCATTTTGATACATTAATAAAGAAATTCCATTCATAAACTGCTTACAAATTCGTATATGTTAGTTTAAGCTGTTCTATGAAGGCTTTGTCTATTAATAAATTTTGAGAGTTGGATTCATGAGTTGATCTAAGCTAAATCACCACTGGAAACCTGGAAGCACTGAGTGGCTTTTTCGTCCTAGTATGAGACTCCCTATCAGTACGCGTCCACAATCTCGTAAGCGGGACTCGAATACAGGGCCCTCGGTCTCAAGCGCGAACGCCTAAACCCTGACTTCAATCGATCCAT